TGATAACGACGCTCAAAATCTTTTAGATCTTGATGGAATCGTTCTCCTTGTTCTTCACTGTAATCACTCAAATTTTCAGGGAATTGATCCCGATGCGAGTCTAAGTAATGCAACTTTATGCTCATTAAGCATCCTAACTTACCAAAGTTTTTAATCATATCACTAACTATTTGCTCCCAATTTTCACTCTTGTGATTACTCAGAAAATTTTCGACAACTGCTTTGAAACTAAGCCATGCGGCTTTCTCCTTTTTATTCATCTTGGTGATAAATTGCTCATCTTTTAACAATTTGCGAATACAAGGTCCGTTGAAAACCCCTTCTTTTAGTTTCGCATCAGAGATTTCTGGAAACTTTTGTTCCAGGTATTTGAAACAGTTTCCTTTTTTATCTAAGGCTTTGACAAACTGTTTAATTGCTCCTAGTTTCGTGTGTAAGGGCGGAATTATCACCTTTGAAGGGTCGATATCGTCCGCCATATTGGAGCCGCCATTTTAAATTTTGAAAATCTAACTTTAGATTCGTAATCAGCGACCCAAAAAACCCCTAGATACCAAGTTTGAAGTAAATCCATCAATTTTTACATAATTTGTCCGCCATATTGGAGCCGCCATTTTGAATTTTGAAAATCTAACTTCAAATTCGTCATCAGCGACCCAAAAAACCCCTAGATACCAATTTTGAAGTAAATCCATCAATTTTTTAAAAAAATAGCCTACCTCTCAAAATCCGACAGGTTTTTGGAGGTTAGAAAAAAATCCTGACGTGATGGAGCAAAACGGACTTCGGATTCGTGTTCAGCGCGTCAAAATACATGGGAAATGACTAGTCTGGTCTGCCGCGCACGACACTTTTTTTTTTTTGTGGGGCTGTGTTATAAGTACACTGAGAGACCTTTTGCACCGCATCAGAACTACGTGTGTGACTGCAGCGCCACTATAGGTTTTGGTGCGCTGCATTCTAAATTTTGTATCGTGACTGCCCAAAAATGAAAATGAACCTTTCGGCCGTCAATTTTTTGGACAGCTACGCTCCAAAAATTGTACGGCTGCAGACCAAAAACGTAGTTTCATAGCTGACCGCTAGAATGCTCCGCAGCCGTCTGTCGAAAGTCTGTTACGGTGCAAAAGGTCTCTCAGTGTAGAAACACTTTTCAAGTGCTTGAATTTGATCCCGATCGTGGTGCTGTACTGCGTAGTCGGCAGAGTTATTTTCCTATGTAATCTAATGCAGTAACATTTTCACTTCATTTTAAATCTTGGCTAGCTCCATTAGTAAAATTTAACTAATTTTCACAACTATTCATTGAAATTCCACTGATTATATAGCGCAAGCATTGCAGATTAAAGGTATATCCAACAAATTATTTAAGTAAAACTTAAAACAATTCGTGAAATGAAAGTTAGTCAAATAAATTTTAGAATTATGTTAAGTTTTAATTAATTTTTTTAATATAAATAATTAAATTTTAAAATGGGAAATTATACAAATTTTAGAATATGCGTGAAATGTAGAAAAAAGAATACCCAGTGGGCACCGGGACGTATAAAAGACGTCTTCAAGGACTTCTTTAAGTTGTTTCTCCAATGGGCACGGAACGGAGTACAAGAACGTGAACGTGCTGACGTCACAATGTTATTCAAATGGGTGACGTCAGCACGTTCACGTTCACGTACTCCGTTCTGTGCCCATTAGAGAAGCAACTTTAAGGACTTCTTTACAGAAGACATCTAAAAGTCATCCGAAAAGGATGTCCAAAAATAAAAAAACATCTGAAAGACGTCTTTAGGACTAAGACGTTTAACTCGTTTATTGAAAGGTAGGAAGTTGTCGAATGCAAGATTTAAAACTTTAAATGAATATTGAAGTTTGTCACAGTCATAAATCGTAAGATTTAAGAATGAGAGAAAAAAAAACAGAAATACTTCCATTCTTTTTTGCCTCATTTTAAAATTTACGATTTCAACGTACTCAGGCTTATTCGACGAACTAAAATAATTTACTTTCAACTATGCTCTTAACGGATTTTAACATTTCGAGTGATGATTTTCACGTGAAGTGTACTCACTTACATTTACACCTTAAATTCCATAATAATATGCGATTGCAATATAAGAAAATGGTTTCGATTTATTGGATGATTTGTCATAATTAAATTTAAAGTCATTGTATTTCATTATAATAAAATGATAAATCTCGTGCATTGTCAATATTATATGTACGCGTTTGTTCATTTTACTTGAAAAATTCACTGGAAAGCCACTCTTAATTGAACAAACAATAGTAGCACCAGCCTGCAACTGACAGACATCTGTTCAGGTTGTTTCCGTTATGCTTGTTAATAGTTATACATGTATGTATGCACACACGGAAAAAAATACTCAGTAAGTTTATTCGAAAAGTTCAGTAAAAGTTAGACATAAAGGCATTTTAGTGACACATAATATTCTTTTATTACACAGCTTCACAAAAAAAGTTGTCTGTACATGAAACCACAACACATTTTTTTAAATATATTTTGACCTCCTGAATACGAATTGTTGGTCTAGAAAAATTTTTATAAGGTGTATTTTTTTAAATTACAAAAAATAGTTTTTAAACTGCAAAATTTCGCAAAAAAAACATTTTCTCTCTAAATCTGAATTAGTAAAATTGTTTACTAATTTAAATTAGTGACTCACTTTTTGCTTTAGAATTAGTTAAATTTTACTACTTGTTAGTAGAAGTTACTAATAATTAGTAAAATTTTACTAATTGAGAAGCAAAAAGTGAGTCACTAATTCAAATTAGTAAACTTTTTTTACTAATTCAGATTTAGAGAGTTTTTGTAACCCATGAATCATACAATTCATTTTTAATGTACTTGGGAAGGCTGAACACGAATCCGATGTTTAATCACCGTTTAAAGTAATAATTTCATTGTTATTTGCAGAAAACAGATTTTTATTCAAAAAATGATTTAATTTTAACGAACAAAAACTAGGTTTCCGAAGTCTTGCAGGGACGCGCCATCCCTCATTATTTTTCACTTTAATGCTTAATTTTTTAAAGGCTTGTAAGTATTAAAATTATTAAAATTTTATCTAAATTTTGAGGTTATGTACATTTCTTGGTTAGGGGAATTTGAACTTATGTTTGTTGGACATAGCCTCAAACGCAGCGGTCCCTTGACTTACACTGTAAAAAATCCCTAATTTACAACCACGGAGTAGTAATAAGGAGGTAGGTCTCTCATACATGGTTCTAACGGAAAGTTTGTCTTTTTTTTGCAAGTGTAATGTTCTGAGCCCCCTAGCAACTGTAGCGCCACTTGCGGTAATTGTGCAAACGAATATTGTTTGAATTTAAAAATCCTTCTACTTCGAGCACGTGCTAATAAAAAAAAACACGTGGTTTGTTTATTTATTATAACAACTTAAAAAAAATAAACCCGCAAATGTTACCTTTTAAAGGTTGAAACTTACGTAATTTGTGTAAAATAGAGCAAACAATTTTTACGGTTTTAAATGATTTGTTTTGACGAAACTTTTAATGATACAACTTTTTCATGTATTAATGAAATAAAGTTTATATATTAAGGTTTTCAAAAATCAAGGAACATTAAAAAAAAATTTTTAATGGCGGAGATATGTCGATTCTTTTGTAGCCATCCTTTTAGCAACGGTGGGCATGATAACTCGAAAAATATTTGACCGATTGACTTAAAAATTGAAACACAACTTCTTGAATATATTCTTTATAGAGTGACGTAGCGGCTTTATTAAAAAAAATTTTATGCAAATGATAACACTTTGAAAATCAAAATTTATTTTCGGAATCGAAGTAGTTAGTTAAAAAAGTTCATAAATTTTTTTTTAAATTAACCGATTAAAAAAACCCTAAAACTTGAATACATGTACTTTATTTCATTAATGCATGAAAAAGTTGTATCATTAACAGTTTTGTAAAAAAAATAATTTAAAACCGTAAAAATTGTTTGCGTTCAGGGTCGCGTAACCCCTTAAAATGAGGAGCTGGATATTAGAACTCTCTTCTCTCCGCTCGGCTGAACTCCGTAGAGCCAGTAAAAAAAAATTTTGAAAAATATTTGTAGTACATCAATGTAGCATCAATGGTTGGGATATTCACCTGATGGTGTAATTTTTGAAGATGGAAAACCAATTGAATTATTGGAAATAAAATGCTTTTTTGAGGGAAAATATAAATCTATTCAGGAATGCTTACCAGAAATTCCATATTTGGACAAGGAAACAGGTTTTTTGAAAAAAAACATAAATACTATGAACAAATTCAGTTAGGCATGTTACTTTTGAATATAAAATCATGCGATTTTGTCGTTTACGAATCTTTCGACAAATCAATGCATATCACAAATGTGCCATTTGATAGGGATTTTGCTATTAAAATGGTAAAAGAAGTCAGTGTTGTTTATTTTACACAAATGTTACATTTCATGTGTTCATAAAATATATGGAATAATCAAAGAAACGGAATTAATTGTAAATTTTTTATTGCTGAGAGAATAATACATTGTTTACAAACAATTGTACAAATGAATGTTTTTATGAGCCTCTAAAGTTCCAAATCCTTTAATTTAAATCCAAATTCAAGGCCAATAAAAATGCGATTTACTGAAATCGAAGTTTCAAATTTAAACCATTATTACAACAAGAAATAATTAATACATGTAAGACATAAAACTTAAAATAACTACATTAATTTTTTAAGGGCACCGTACGATTTTCGAGTAAAACAATTTTTTTTAAAAGCGGCTTTCATTAATGTCTTCGTAGTTTTTTTTTATTTTTAATTCATAAAAAAGCTAAATACATTTTTACTCTTTTTATAATTATATCTAGAAAGTTCGATATATTGGAATCAGTAAATTCAGTCTTCAAAATATTTTTCAGAAATTTTATGTCTGACGAATTAAAAAGTAAACGAAAATTTCACGACTCGGTCCAATTTAACATGAAATTGAGAAAACAAACAAATCACATTTAAAAATTGTTTTCAGCTAAAACGGGTGCTGACAGATTAACAAGGGCGCAAGCAATTCTAAAGATATGATCCATATAATCAAATAAATTCCAAGCAAATTGAGATCGAACCATTTTAACAAATTTTATTCTTTGATTAACCCTTTCGACATGCACTCTCGCTGCCGCTATCTTTTTACAAAACTGCGCTTCATCGTGGTTCAATTGATTATCATGCATAAACGGTGGTCGAAATAGTTGAATGTCATGCCGAACACATAGAGACTCGATTAGGAAACCTTTGTCCACCATTACCGCATCCGTACCACCTGTTATGCAATTCAACAATTCCGAGTCTGTAAAAATTTGCTTATCAGACGCTCTTCCACCGTAAGTTGGACTGACATAAGATATTAACCCTGCAGGAGTAACGCCAACTAATACTTTTACGGTAAATGTGGACTTGTACTGTGAATAACATCGAACGCGACATCTGAGACATTTCGATTTTTCGATGGGAGTCTCTGTGCAGTCTAGTACAACCCTTGTCGGCTTAAATTCGTGGAAATAGTTGGGTAAATTATTATTATCTATTTCTTCTCGCGATGGCCACCTGGCAACGATTGGTGTCAAAATTGTGGATAAAAGTAAAACTGTTGTGTTAAAGACACGAGAGCATGTGTGCCTGCCAACTTTTTGAAACAATGCAAAAAACATTGAATACGATAAATCTTGTTTTATTTTAAGCATTGTTAAAACAATACTTTCTTTCAATGATAAAACATGTTTCCCGTGGCGTCTATTTGGCCATACTTTTTTCGCGGATTCGACTAAAGCTTCTAAAAGACTCAATGTAGGAATTCCGGTTAATGTATTTAAAACCTTATCCGAATTTATTAGAGAAATAAAAGAAAAAGTAAAATCATCAGTACAAACTTGAGTTGCTTTGTCTTTGAATTGTTTTCCTGAATTAATATCACTCTCTAAATTGAATTGAACTGAAGATTTCATAAAAGAATTTTCGTTAAAATGCAACATTAAAAAAGCATCTCTTTCTTTGTCAGTTACAATTTCTTCGTCTTGTGCTTCTTCGGTACAATTATTGCACAAATGCTCTGAACCTTCACAAATGACACCCTCTTCTAAAGAAAGATTTTCAACTTTTTCTTCTAAAAGCCGGACATTTTCTTCTACTTCTAGACTTTCACCAATATCTACATTACTCTTCTCTCTGTTCATACATAAAAACATACGAAAAATAGATAAAAATTCTGTTATGAATTGTATGCTATTTTACTACAAAAAAAGATTTAATAAAATAACATAACTAAAAAAATCCAAATAAAATATTTCCAAAAAAACTTTTCATGCAAAAATAAATAAAAGACGCAAAAACCAACAAAATAAATTGCAATTGATTAAAATAACTCCTTAAACCTGATAGTTAGACACCTCAATCACCTAATTAGATACAATTCATATTTAATTAATTACTATTTTTATTCAACTGAATTTTTTACAGTTACCATTTGTAGTACAATTAAAAAGAATATTGTATATAAAATACCCTGTAAAAAAATTGTAATTAATTAATATTATTTAATAATTGGTAATCACTGCTTCATCAAATAAATCCTGCAATAAAAATTCACGTATATAACCTAACACTAGATGAATAAAATATATCAGCCACTATTGTCCTACATACTATTTAATAAAATTGAAGTGACTGAAAATAAAACAAAATTTAAATAATTCAAGGTTACAATTTGAAATTCCATGATTTAAAGCATAAGAAATTATTTTAAGTAAAATTCAAACCACATATGCATACCTCACATTGGAAAATAAATTTCGTTTACAGTTTCCGTTTAATTTTGCATTTTTACCTAAAATTAAAAATTATATTTTTCTTCACACATATAAATATATAACATTGTGTCCAGCAAAACTTAAGAAAAAAAACTTCGTGACTTTTCTCTGACTTTCCTCTGACGTTTCTTCTCTTTTTTCGACCAAGAAATTTTTCGTTTTTACGTAACTATTTTTGTAAAATTGAATGTTTGATGAACTGTTAAATTAATTAACTTAATTAATTAAATAAATTCCTGACTTTTCCATGACTAAAAAAATTCCATGAATGTTCCCTAACTTCTCTGACCGCCAGACACCACGAATATATGTAAATATAATTAAATAAACAAGAAAACAGACCCTTGTAGTTGAAGTCATCCTGAATGAAGTGCTTCGAGCACACTTTCATTGAAGATGAAGCAGGCTTGCCCATTTTAAGACGCCTCTTCCATTCAACGTGACAGTCCACGAAAATTTAATTGCCAAAAATATCCTTAATCTTGGACTTAACAGCTCCTTTTTTTGGCCAAACGTGAAATAAAAGAATCCTGTCTTTTTCCGCGCGAGATGAACAACCTGTCACACAACAAAATGTTCGATTTTTCGAATCCTTTTTTGGCGAAAAAATTGCGCTTTGTTTATCTTCCATTTCTTCCATAATCTTCTATTCTACAAACCGTGTAAAAATATTAATACAAATAAATATAGATAAAAAGTATTTGCAATTGTAAAGAATTTCGTGTAAACACATTTGGGAAATTTTCCGTGCATACTTTTAGAAGTAGAATATTTTAAAAAATAAAATTGTACATTATTTAGAAAATATTGCATAAATAATTTGTAATAATAATAATAAATAATATACTATTCCTAAGTTTTACACGTAACAATTTCTTTCAGTTTAAAACAAAGAAAAAGAGACTAAATAAAAATTATGTTAAGTGGAATTTTGGTCTTAATCATGCGAGTGCAAGTAAATACTAAAACAATACATGTAAATTTGTAAATATAAGTAAATATTAATATTTAATAAATATTAAAATATTCTTATAATTATTAATTAATAAATATTAATATCTTAAAGCTGATATAATTATATACATCGCATGCTGGACACATATAGTAAAAAGGCATCGGAAATAAATTAATTCTATCAAATAAAATCGCCTAATATACTTTTATTATAAATGCGAGTAAATACAATATATTTACCATGGGAATTGTTGATAATTATTCCTAAATAGATATTACAAAATTAATCAAAACATCAGGAAAATTATCCATTTCAAACTTGAAAACTTAACCTCGAAAAAGGTACAATATCTTCTTACCATTGCTCTATTGTATCATTACTATTATTTTTTAAATACTATTACTATTTTTTATTATACATACTTAATGTTATATCATAATTACTTACCGCAATTATAATAAATTAATATTCATTTCAAAATAATCTTGTTTTCTTGATTCACTTATCACTAAAACAAACAAAGCAGACTCCTTATCGAACTTCCCTCAAACCGCCACTAAGTCTCGCATTTTCGTGCTCATCGCGAATCTGCAGGTTACGAGTTGAATAACAAAAAGCGCAAAAAATCTGAAACGCTATCTCTCTACGTATAAGAATGTGAACTCCCCCACCTCAGCCAGTGGGTCTGTCCTGTCGTACACTAATATAATTAGGGACCTCAAAGACATTGGAATTTGAGAGCCAAGACTCCGTAACACAAATAATGTCCGGATTATGTTTCCACAAAAGCAAGTCCACCTCGGTTCTTTTGGGAATGATGCTGTGGGCATTCCACAGAATCAAAGCTAGCAATTTGTGAACTGTGCGAGGTCTCTGCATAATTGGAAATAGTAAGAAACCCCCGCAAAAAGAAAACTCCAAACAAATAGAGACAACGAGGCCACAATACAGATCGCAAATACGTGGACAGCACTCAGAAGTTATGTGTTCTGGACGCGAAAACCAACCGAATATACCATACGTACAGAGGTCAAACGTAAAACAATTTGTTGATAGCTGTTCTCTGTAGTACAAATAGATTGAAATAACAGGTTAAAATCTACTGGATAAAATATTTAAAACAAAAACCCACACAGCACCGAAAGTTTCCTAAACCTGTATTAAAGCTGTGCGTGCCAAGTTGGAAAAATTTACCGTAAAGCTTAGCACAGGTTGTGTAAATATGTAAATGTCCGCAATTGAGTAAATGTTTAGCGTAAAACTGTACTGAATCTTTAAATTACGTATTTGGTACAGGTTTAGCGTAAAACTGTACTGAATCTTTAAATTACATATTTGGTACAGGTTTAGGCGTCAATAATATAAAAAAAAAAAAATTCTTCCGACGTGTTGACTCTGAGACGCGAACCCTCGACCATCACAGCTCTCATCCGCACTGGGAGCTCCTTAACGGGCTCGACCAGGGGAGCCTATGAAATATCTTGAGAAAATGTCTCTTATAACGAAAATACTTTAAACAGATACTTACATTATTTTGTAAAGTCATCAAACAGTTTTTCAGATGTTTATTATTACTAATGTAATTTGTATAATGCTAATACTTAATTACAACTCACTTTAAACCAGAATTTTCTTATATGAAATTAATGTGATCAAACATAAATTATTACATAACTACAATTCAATAATTATTTTTTTTAAACAAGGAAAATAAGTTACATTGACAGAATTCTTAAGTTTTTAAAAGTTCCAAAAAAAAGTTATCAAGCAACAAAAATTTACGCACAATTTTATTATTTTTAAACACTATAATATTAGGGGTACCTCCAATTTTAATAAAAATTTATAAAAATAAATTGGAGGTACCCCTAATATTATAGTGTTTAAAAATAATAAAATTGTGCGTAAATTTTTGTTGCTTGATAACTTTTTTTGGAACTTTTAAAAACTTAAGAATTCTGTCAATGTAACTTATTTTCCTTGTTTAAAAAAAATAATTATTGAATTGTAGTTATGTAATAATTTATGTTTGATCACATTAATTTCATATAAGAAAATTCTGGTTTAAAGTGAGTTGTAATTAAGTATTAGCATTATACAAATTACATTAGTAATAATAAACATCTGAAAAACTGTTTGATGACTTTACAAAATAATGTAAGTATCTGTTTAAAGTATTTTCGTTATAAGAGACATTTTCTCAAGATATTTCATAGGCTCCCCTGGTCGAGCCCGTTAAGGCGCTCCCAGTGCGGATGAGAGCTGTGATGGTCGAGGGTTCGCGTCTCAGAGTCAACACGTCGGAAGAATTTTTTTTTTTTTATATTATTGACGCCTAAACCTGTACCAAATATGTAATTTAAAGATTCAGTACAGTTTTACGCTAAACCTGTACCAAATATGTAATTTAAAGATTCAGTACAGTTTTACGCTAAACCTGTACTAAATACGTAATTTAAACATTCAGTACAGTTTTACGCTAAACATTTACTCAATTGCGGACATTTACATATTTACACAACCTGTGCTAAGCTTTACGGTAAATTTTTCCAACTTGGCACGCACAGCTTTAATACAGGTTTAGGAAACTTTCGGTGCTGTGTGGGAAGGCTAAATAGAGGTTAAAATGTATGTTACCAAGTAACTAGTTTGTTTATAAATGTAAAACACAATATTAAATTAATAAATAAATAATAGATGATAAATGGGAATCGTATAATAGTAGACAAAACTAAGTAGAATTCAAATATTAGCCCTCACTTAGAGCCACCTCAGGGTGGTCAGAACCACCAAGCGGTTGAAGCGAATCAATGTCGGTACGAGAAGCCGTTGGACCAGAAAAGAGTTGCGAAGTCTGAGAAGTAATGCTTTGGTCCTCCACAGGCCCCTCCGTGGGCTGCCATACCATCTCATAACCCGGCTTAGCAATACCCTCACTCAACAAGAGCACCTCCGCCTTATCATAGCCAACATTGGGCTCAAGCCTGCTCTTCATTATTAAGTATTCATGTTTGTAATATGGACACTCCCTTGATGAGGACATGTGATTATCACCACAGTTAGCACAGTGTGCCGTGCGATTCGGGTTGGGACAATCATCCCTAGCGTGATTCTCTGCGCAAAATTCTCATCTAGAGAAAGTCGAGCGACACTGAGTACGAAAATGCCTATATCTTTGACACTTGTAGCATCGCTTCGGGGGAGTGACCATCAGAGTCAAATTATAGAGGGCTCGAGAAATAAAAATCGAATCTGGGATCGATACTCCTGAAAAGATCAATTCGATCTGCCCCGACAGATCTCCATCTTGGGTTGTACGTCTGCGAATGGAAATTACTTCCCGAATTACTTCACTCTCCATTTTATTACAGATCTCCAGAGGAGACAATTCTAAATCAACATCATATGCCAG